CCAGCTTCCTGCTGGGCTACACACAGACAAATTAACGGGAGATGGATTGCTACCTGCAGCCCATCCGGAACCAGGGAGGAAGGCAGGCAATACAGCGCTGCAAGGGAGCCGTAATCAGAATTTTCCTGTTCTCTCAGCCCCCGTTCAGGGCAGAGGGACCTGAGCAGTGATGCCTCGCTGCTGCCTGCATTGGGGGTACCCCAAACAGAATCACAGACACTGGCTTGGGCTTTATTTGCTGAAGTTAATACCGGTGGTAGCTGCCCCAAGGAGCCCCACACTCCAGAGGTGCTGGAGACCAAACTGTTCCCCAATAAGAAACAGGTTGGACTCGATCTTGAAGGTATTTTCCAGCCCTAATGGTTCTGTAAGAAACCAACCTGAGCTGGTGGGAACTGGTTCTGCTGGCCTGACCATGGGGAGAATCTGTATGGACACTTCCAGCACAGAACAAATCCTTGCCAGCATGAAGACATAAGTAAAGAATGTAACAGTGGTGCCCTGCCCCTGTAGCTGTCTCCCCTGGGGTCTAAAGGCCCCACAGACAGATCCTGACTGGGCAGCAAAAGCACATCTTAGGTAGAAGGACAGCAGCAAGGACTAAACCCCCCAGAAACCTCATTAACCTTTCAAGGAAAGGTTAAAGTTTCAGTGTAGACAGTGGTGTAGCAATACAACTTTAGTGTCACAGGCATGGACAAATTCATCTTGTGATGGATCTGTTGCATAAGCAGCCATGCAGGGCCAGATCCTGCTGCCTGGAGCTGCCCGTGGGATCGGGGCAGGGTTCTGGGCACAGCCCCAAGAGCCACTGCCTGCGCCTGTCCTCTGCTCCCTGCTCCGCTTCCAGCCCCTGCCCATCCTGCCCTGGCTGCAGAGCCACACACAAACCCCACAGGCTGAGGTCTGCACTAAAATATTTACGTGCTTTTGAATTATACAAGGGAAAAAAAAAAAAAAAAAAAAAAGCACTTGCAGGTCAAATTTTTACCCTTTTGCAACACAACTTAGCAATCAAATTGATTGCACCTTTCAAGCTGGTGTAAATCCTCTTCCTGAGCAAACTCCTTTGTACCCACTTTTGCCAAGTACCTTTTTTTGCAGCTGATATATAAACCTTTGAAAATAAGTTTGAGGGGAGACTGACAACCTTGAAACCTCAAGAGCAGCATGGCATTGACGGGCACGGCTCCCTGAGCTGAGTATTATAGATAGATTTTAATTTCATTTTAACAAAATAGCTGTCTCCAGTGGAAGAAGCATCAAGAGCTAAATGAGGACCCGTCTTGAGCTGAATCACGTTGAACAGACCTCGGCACTGTCATTGATTTTCTGGGAAGAAAAAAAATGCCTCTGGCTACTAAACCAAATTAGTAGTCACTGATGACCAATTATTTTGCCCCACTGTGAACGGGGAGGCGTACTAAAATTCCAGTTTGTCAGACCCAAGGCTCTCTTCTGAAACACCTTTCAACAAGCGTGTACCAAAAATCTCTCAGATGGTTCTGACGCCTTCCTGTTTTCGGCAACTTCTCCTTCTCCAAAGTTTTAATGAGCTGCTGCTCTGAGGAGGGCCTGCCACAAAGTGAGCCCTTCCCTGCAATGTGGAGCACTATTTGGCATTGGCACAAATCACAGCTGTCAGGATTTATACACACATACACAAAAAAGTGTCAGCCTAATGTTTGCAAATTATAATTACCATTTCTCGTGCATGTCCCTGGTGCCTTCATTTTAGATAAATCCCAGCTCTGAGGTATCAGCTGCAAAGCACTGAAGGCTCATATTGAATGGAATAGATTTAACTAGTTTGTAGCTCATTTAAGGCCTACACTGTTTTATTTTAATATTGTTAATACTTTATTATACTTTTTAACACTGTTTTCACAGTAAAATAGCCTATTAGGAGGCTGCAGCTTCTTTTCCAGGAGATGTCTGGCAGACTAGAATTCCACATTGTATAACCAAGTTAGCAGGTGCTTGTCATTTCAGTTGAAAATAGGTCTGTACCCTGACTGTTGAAAGTAAATTAGAGAGATTCTATTAAAGAGACAGGAACTGTTTCAGGGATAATAGTTTTGAAAATGTGCACAGATAAATTTTAAAATATTTAGGAAATGTCAGCATTAGAAGTGGCTTCAACTATTTGACTATAAAAGGAAGCTGATGAGTATTTTTTCTCCCCTACAATTATAAATAATTTGTTACATCCTATCAGAACTTCTTTGCCTTTCCTTTCTGTGGCAGGGTGCTTGTGCCAAAACAAGGAGATCTGAGTTACTCTGAGTGAGATGAGTTTTAATGTGCAGTAAGCATTTCCAGAGGATGCTTCTCCTGCTCTCCCCACAGCACCCGCAGACAGCAACAGCAAAATCCTCCCTCTTCAGGAGTGACATCCAGGCAGGGTGACAAAAGGAAAGGGAACACACAAGCCACTGGTCCCTGTCCTTAGTAACACTAAGTAACACTAAGGCAAAAGGACATTTTCCCAAAGACCAGCTGCAAGTAAGATCACATTGCCAAGCAGCACCAATATCAGGGTGAAATTCCCCATCAGCTCTGCTGAGTTCAGACTTTGACCTACAAGGGAAAAGCTGCCTGGCTGAGATCCCTCCAGTCACCTTAAAGAGGTGTTCCCTCATTTCCCTGCTCTGCCCTGCTCTCTCAGTGTTTCTCTCAAAGGAGGATGAGCCAGATGAAGCCTCACATCCTACAGCCACACCAGGGCTTACGTGGAAAACCAAGCACACGAGTCGTTCCTCCCAATTTGAGAGAGGCAGTTCATGTGTGCATCACTCCAGGCATGATTCTATACTTTGCTGGATCAGGACTTAAATGCAATTAATCACACAGCAGGGAAGGATCTCTGAAGAGCATCAACCCAAATGTGTCCTTTCAAGCATTTACTTACAAGCCAGCTGTGGACTAATCAGTCACCAACTGGCTGGTCCACTGGAGATGGTAAAAGTCACCTCCATAGAGATGTGAAAACACATTCAACTTCCAAAAAAAATAAAAAATCAATAATCAAAGACTACACACAAAGGCTCAGATCTTCCCTGCATCCCTCCCTGCTATTCCTGCACACCAGGAAAGCTCTTGCCTAGGAGAGCAAAGGGACAGGAGCAAACAAGCAGTGCTCACCATGTGCTTGTGTCAGGAAAGCCAACATTTACAACACACTACAAGACTGGAGACACAAACAGATAATAACACACTTGACCACTGGTTTGCCACATCTTTTAACCTTTTAAATATTTTTCCCAGCTCTGATGAGCATGAAATGCCAAACTGGAAGGGAAGGAAGGGAAAGAAGAAGGGACAAAGGGCAAATGTCAGTGTCTCCTTTGGCACTGGGTGTCTCCAGATAATGGTCTGGAGCAGCAGAGCTGATTTGCAAGCAAAGGCTTGAAAAGCCCTGCAGCATGTGATCTATGAAAAAGGAGGCCTGCAGAAGGATGTCTCCTCTGATATGAATGTCCCCTTGGGATGGATATTGCTGGATTGCACATCCAGTACCATTAGAAAACACAAGCATACATTAGGCTGTTTTGAAGCATGTGGTGTGCAATAATTAAGTAATAAAAGTCACCACGGGGGTGATGGAACAAGAAACAGAAGAGTTACTATTTGCATACAGGCTGCTGGTACCCTCCCTGATCATCAAGGATTCTCCAGGCTGCTAAAAGCTGGCAGCTGTCAATTCTGGACCTACTCCCACCATAAACAAAGCACCAGCTCACTCTGTGGCAGGAGGGCTCTTTGCAGAAACAGGTGGAGCTGGTGGCCCAGAAGCAGCCCAGCAGCTGTCCCAAGTCCCCAGAGTCCTGCAGTTGGTCTGGACAGGCAGGGAAAGCACTGACCCCGCTATGGGAGCTGTAGCTGAGGGCTCTGCAGGCTACAGGTGGGAGCAGAGCCACCTGTGTGAGAGCTCCACAGCCATCAGCTGCTGCCAAGATGGAAAAAGTCCCTCCTCAGCAAGGTGTGCAAGGACAAGGACCAATAAAACTTGAGCTTGAGGTCCTTCATCACCTTCAAGTGTTTGCTTCTGGGGGAAAGGAATAGCAGCAGGACCATGGGAATTACTGACTTGCTGTCCCTGTCACTGCCAGGTCTGCCTCCCATGGTAGCTGATGAAGTGTCCTCACTTGCAAGGAGCAATGCTCAACAATTTCAGGCAGCAGCTTTGCCACAAGCTGGTCAGGTTAATGCCAGCTCAGAGAAGCTGAATGGGACACTGGCCAACAAACAAGTGTCTTTTTACTCTTTTTCTAGAGCCAGGCTCATGTGCAGCTCCTCCCCTCTGCTGTCTCCTCCTTGCTCCCTGAAATCCTCTTTCAAGGGACAAATACACCAGCTCTGTGCAGCTGAGGCACCAGACCAGGGCTCAGCATTTTGGCTCCCCTTTCTGCTGCAGACACCTGCCCACCTGCATTGGTTCCATTTTTAGCCCTATTCAGATTGCTTAGGACAGTACTAACTCATCCCAATCATCATCACATGTTTGCAGCCTTTGTTGCACCACATCAGAGAGATTTCAATAGGAAAAGCAGTGTTGTTTTAGCAAAACACACTTGGCACCCAGGGGTTCTTCCCCTGGAGGGAATCCAGAGCTGCTCCCTTGGGCACCAGCTGGGAAATGCTCTCCTGAAGCTCTACCAGGGCCCAAAGTTGAGCTGCAGCCTGTGGTGCCCTGTGGTCCTTTCAGCACACCAGGGCTCAGACAGAGGTGCTGAAACCTGCCCTGTTAAAGGTTGTGCAAAGAGAGGAATTGTTCCTGTCTTTGTTCTGGAGAATGCCTGGCACAGCTTACCCCACATGTGTGCAGGCTGTGGTGTGTTCACTGCAAATGATGGTGGGTTTGAGGTTTCCTAAGGAGGAGAAAGCCTTTCCCAGTGCAAGGCTTTATTCATGTTCTCACCAGTCACTTTTCAGGAGCAGAGATGTGAACCAGCACAAGGAGGCAAAGATTACATCTGTGTCTTTTCAACATTTTCCAGGCCTTCCACACCCTTTTTTGACCTCATGCAACACAGATACAAGGAACTGTGGATGGAGCAACAGAGAGCCCGGACTGTAGTCCAGCACATGGTGAAGAAAAAGGTGGGAATAGTCCAGCAATGCTTTCCCCTGATGGGCACAGCACCCCACTGTCCTACCCCACAGGACAGATGGGCAGCTCCCAGCCCTAGGAAGGGCTCTCAGCTGGAAGAACATCCCCCTGACTACTAAAAGGCTGATGGAGCCTAACAAAGATGAGCATCCCCCTGCCAGGAGCCCCACAGGCTGTCCTTTGGACATCAGCTCTGCTCAGGTTACCTGTGCCACTGGCCACAACAAAGGAACCACCAGCAAATGCTGAAAGGACAGCCCCAGCCCTGAGCCTGGCATGGTGTGGTTGATGCAGCACCCACAGCAGCTGTTGGAGTGTAAGGCTGTGCTGTTAAATACACCAACATTGTAATATCATTTAAAAGCAGCCAATGACTTTTATTAGTTAATGGCTCAAAGAAGAGTCAGGCTAATATGGTAATGACCAATTTCAATGGGCTTACTGCCATCACAAACTATGCTTTATAGTTGAAGTGCAGGAATACAGTGTCCTTAATTAGCAGCTATTTTATGAATACACCAGCCTGGGATGTTAGAAAGTGCATCCCTACTTTATCTATTAATGACTGATGTTTTTAATCACTAAGTTGCCTCCATCAAGCTCCCAAAGCCTGCAGCCACCAATTACTGAATTAAGCAACACAAACCTGTGTTTGGTCCTAGACCACAGAGCAGATGGATTCCCAGGGTTTCATGCAGTGGCCAAAACATTCACCAGGTACCTGCACTGGCTTGTGCTGGGATTATCAAGCACAGTGGCCTGCAATTAAACAGGAAACCCCACCATGGTGGGAGTGCTGGAATTGACTTTCCCAGGTAGGGATGAGCCATTACTGCAGCTCAGGGCTTCCAGTGGGCAGCAGTCACCTCCCTGGGATGCTCTTTAATGCGGATACTCAGAGCTGACAGCTGATGGTCTGTTTTAACCATCAGTATTGGCCGCATGGACAAGGAAAACTTCCCAGATCATGCACTTGTGCTCATCCGCCCAAAGCGGCTTTTGGCCTCTTCCATCCCAGTGTCACTGCATTGCACGACCCAGAGCTGATGGTGCATGGCTGTGCAGCTGTTTGAGCCTGCTCTTGTTCACCTGTGGTTGCAGCCAAGGGAAGTGCAGCTGTTTGAGCCCACTCTTGTTTCCCCTTTGGTTGCAGACTGGTGAAGTGCGTGAGAACCGCACCACGTTCCTGCGCACGCACCCGCTGCCCGTGAAGGAGGAGTCCTTCTGGCACCCGCAGCGCTTTGAGAAGGTATGGGCTCCCCACATCCCATGCTGTGACCAAAGTCAACTTTTCTGGGCCTCTACAAGCACCTGATTGAAGGGACTTCCTAACCTTGCTCACGTGCCCCAATAACATCCTTAGCACACAAATGAATGAGGCTCTTAACTCAAAGCTCCCAGTGACCCAGACTTTAAAATGGTCCCAAATGTGTTCAACCATCAGCCCCTTTTGAACATCAGGGTGGGATATTTTTTGCTGTCCATAAGCCCTGGAAGAGGCAGCAGTTGCCCAGATAATAACATTTTTAAGCTTAATCTCTAACCTGGCCAGACCCTTTGCTTTACAAGTGCCTTACACAAGGAGGACAGTCACCACCCCAGAATTAGAGCTTTCCAGACAGCCTGCACTCTTGATACCTCTCTAAACTACCTGATTGACAATATTCACCCTGAGACAAAGCAAAGGGTCTGGCCAGGTTAGAGATGTGTGTGATACTTCCTTTAACTGATCCAAATAAGAGCCGAGGTGAAGATTTCTTGTTCTGGTGATGGGATCTAAACATCTCCCTGAATTCATCTGTGCAACCTGCTGTGCTGTGGGGTACTTGTAAGAATTCCATTAGCTTTGTTTGTGGTGTAAATTATATGGAAAATTCCAGTGAAGAGCTAGGGGGAATTTTAGATGAGAAGGGGAAATAACTGGACCAGTGGAATGGAAAGGAGACACCAGGAGGTGAAAGCACTGAAACCCTAAAGGGAGTTTGCATGGCCAAAATAAATTTTGGCATTGATAGATACCACTGCAAAAAGCTCTCAGCTCTCTCTCCCAGCCCTTCTTTTGATGAGGTTATTTTTTTTTGCTGTTGATTTCTAACCACAGTTTAAATCAGCAAAGAAGCTCTGTGATTTCCTGAAGGTAATTTGGTTGTACAAGTTGGAGAGTTTTGCCCAAAAAATGTGCTTTGCACCACCTTGATGTATTCCTCTACTGTCCTGTCTAAGAGTGCCCGATTAGCATATGTCAGTAATCATTTATCCCCACTGCCTGTCAGCTCGGAGCTGCTGCTGCGGCGATGGCAGCAAGAGAACATGACCGATCGCTGTTAAACAGATTGTGAGAGTCACACGAGATACTGGGGCAAGCCTCCTCTTTAGAGCTCCTCTCACCCCAGACCTTTCCATCACTGTTCATTTTTCAGCCTGGGTTTTGCTTTGTGCTTTCCCTTTTGTTTCATCCATGGCTGCGGTTGGGCTCCTGCCCTGGCCACAGCTCTCAAGCCTCCAAATCCTTCCTTCTTCTCTTTCTCCTTTTTCTTCTTTCTTCCTCTTCCTTCCCTCTGGGGAAGAGGGACAGCTCATTTTGCACAGCCTCTGCAGATTTTCCAAAGTTCTCGTTTACCCTGGATGGTTTGCCATTCCCCAGCTGCACATCTAACAGACACAGCCCACATTAGAACTTGGATCAAGGAATTTGTTACTCACTTGACCTTCAGTGCATGGTTTCCTCCATAGAAAAATAACTCCTCTAACATCCATAAATGTCTACCCAGTTAAAAGCAGTAACAACCTGGAGGAAGTTAAGGGTTCCCAAAGACATTTGGTGGTCTCTAAACTGTTCTTTAACTACTCCTGTAAAGGTGGGTTCTACAGAGGTGATGGAATGGTTTTGAAAGCCAGACTGACCTAACCCAGCAACTCCAGGAGTCAATGTCCCAGTCTTTACTGAGGTGACAATTGACCAAAACACTGCCTCTAATCCATGTAACATCCTCATCCTAATGTGCAAGAAGAATATGAAAAACAACCACAAAAATATCACTACACAGAGAGCTTGTTAGCTGACTCCATCTGCACATTATTTCCTACCAGCTTTTGGTGACTTTGTCCTGCTCTGACCAGTACAGAAGATGCTCATGACTTGGGAAATACTCCAGACTCTGGATAAGATTATTCAGAGACTCTATTGCCCTGACCAAAGTCTCACTTATAACTTTATTTCCATGTGATCCAACACTGAATTGGGGTGCAGGAGTGTGATATTCTCAAGCCACTCATCTTCTGGTCACTCAGTCACCTCATCATATGGAAAAACACCTTTCAGTCTGGCCTGCTCTAGGTCTGAGGGGAGCAACACCCAGCCATTGAAAGAGTTATAATCCAAAACAGGGGCAGCAGGAAGGTGAGATTTTGTTCCTTTAGGCCCATAAAAATCATCAAGAAGGATTTTTTTATTTCCACCATGACCCCTAGCAGAGAGCTGCAGAAACTGGGCATGGATATCTCTGCTGGCTCTTTAACTGGGCTTTCCATTCAGTCCCTGGCACCATGAAAGCTTACCCAAGAAGTGGAAGAGAAGAAAATAAAGGAGCTTTTTCCTCCCCACTAATTGCATCTGCTTGCTCCCTGCACTGCCAGAGCTGCATGACATTACACAGTCATTCAGTCAGTAAAGTACAGACAAATTGACTATATTTTCATTTGGATTTAGGTTTCAGCCCCACTGCTTTAGAATAATGGCCCACACTGTTAAACTAACAGGGTGTTTTACAGGCTCTCCAACACCAGGTGCTCCTGCTCTGTCACCTCTGCAGGGCTGACCTGGCCTGTGGTCTCCTGGGCTCCCCAGCTCACCAAGACAAACATGTCACAGGGAGCCATTCCTGTCCTGATGGGCAGTTCATTAGGGAAAGATGCTGCATTTAAGTGGTTTTTTTGTATGTTTTTTTTTTTTTTAACTAAGCCAAGCAGATGTTAACTCCTTATTCACATCAGCAAGATGGTTCTACTGCCCTCCTCTTCCTCAAAGCAAACAGCCTCTGCCTTGCTTTGCCTGAAGTGACAATTCCAGGGCTCAGGTTTTGCCAGCATGGCTGGGACTGTGCACCAAAACTTAATTTATTTGTAGATGTGGGACTACATTTCCTGGGGAGTGTACTCTCAGGCACCCAGCATGGACATAAATCATAGAATGGTTTGGGTTGGAAATGCACCTTGAAGATCATTTCATTCCAACCCCTCTACCATGAACAGACATCTTCCACTGGACCAGCTAGCTCAGAGCTCCATCCAGCCTGGCCTGGAACACATCCAGGGATGGGGCAGCCACAGCTTCCCTGGACAACCTGTTTCAATGCCTCACCACCCTCACAGGGAAATTTTTTTT